ATGAATGAGGTAGGCAGGTCAGATAGTCCTAATTTTTCAACATAAATATTTTTTAATTTAAATTATAAATACTTTTAATTTCAATTTAATTTAGCAGTAATCAGTGTTAAATATTTTCGGATAACCTGTTTTTAGCGATTAGACGGTTTCCCTACACATCAACTTACAACATAGTTGCCCAGAGAAAAACATGGATTTTGCAAATCTAAACCACAAATGGACATTGTTTTGCCTTGAATATTATTAATAGACATGGCAAAGGCTAAACGAATTGGAAACTGCAGTCTTCTGAAGGATGTAGTAGAAAGCCTTAAAATACCACCGCCCTTACCTCGGCAATATTTGCGGATTCGCAGTGCTGACGTACCGTCTGCTGGATAAAAAGAAAACTATTAATGATGGTACATCGAAATATACAATAGTTTGAACAATGACAGCTTCTGAATTGTAAACAATTTCAACTTAATCTTCTTGAATATTATCTGCTCTTTCTTCTTTTTGGAATTAATCTGTCACCACTACTCGTGAGTACACGTCAGATCCCAGCATAACAAGTATAGGCAACGAAACGTAGAAATTGGAAAGGTTGCAGCAATTTTGGTATCTTTGATTGATGGACTGCTTTGCCATATTTGCCCCGCAATATAAGCTAACAGCATCGATTTTGGCCGGAAACTTGGGGCGATAATTGGCGCTGCTGCTGCGTTAATGGATAGGCGGCCTATAGGAAATCCCGTGGTATCTGTTCGTTGAAGGGCGAACGCTCTGTGGTCGCGTGTTACTCTTTGACTGTAAGAATCTACTCGTGACGGTCGGGAAGGATGTGTTCTCAAGCCATCGTCTACTCTGCGTTCCTACTGCTTTGGTGATCAAAAAGGACGAGTTTTCGAGTCTACCTAAGAAGCAGTCGGAAAAACGAGTTTCCGAGCCGATGACTGCTGTTCCATTATTTTGGGTTGTTACCGACACCTCGTCTGTTGCTTCCGCCCGCTTCTCGTCTTCGACCTGTTGCGCCAACGACCTTGTTTCTTCTGTAAAGTGGATTGACAGCACTTCATCTGACGTGTCGCTGTCTTCGATATTACTTATACCAGCTATACCCGTCGGCCTTTTGCCGTTGTCGATTTCAATGTGAACCGTTGTATGGTGCTTCTCTTTGCATCTGAGACATCTATTTTTACTGGTGCAGTTACCCAGATGATAGAACGGCGACAGTCGTTTCGGGCAGTGGCGGTGGATTAGAACCTTGAATCTGGCGATTTATTTCGGTATACGGGACAAAGCCGAATCCCATAGTTTTTGCTGCACAGGCAGCAAATTGCTCCGCACAATTTTTGGTTTAAATTAACACGGACGAAAAGAAAGCATGTCTTTGCAAGTAATGATTCCCTTCTCCGGTGGGATGTCTGCTACTCGGATATGTTTATCGTTGCCTTGGAGAAGCTTCACGACCCGTCCAAGTCGCCATTCGTTTGGAGCTAAATTGTCATCTTGTACGACGACTAAGTCTTCTACTTCCATATTTGGCTGCTGATGCTTCCATTTAGTCCTTTTTTGAACTTCGTTCAGGAACTTGTTCTTCCATCGCTCGCAGAATAACTGATGCATATTGTGCAATTATGTATAATCGCTATAATTAATATTTTCACTCGAGGAATCCAATATTGTATTCGAATAAGTCGTAACATCAGTTAATACTCTCCGTGCAGAGAACTTTCATGGATGAACTGAGTTACTAACCGTGTGTAATGGCAATTATACGGTAGGATTATAGGATGACATTCGGTGTAATTTAGGTCCTGTGATGCAGTCAATCCTCCTCCAGTTTTCATTACTCCATCAGAATCGGTAAATGGATATAGGCAGATAATTTCGTTTTTGTAGTTTAATGTTTGTCCAGACCTTAAATTCGAGAGTTTTAGTGGAAAATGTTGTTGTTGGCATCGGAAAAAATCAATAAATAATAACACTCGGACGGGACTTCTGTCGGACTAGGTCGAACTTCACCCATGTAGCTTACCTGCTGATATTCATTAAGAACTCGAATATACTCCTCTCGTAAAGAGGCATTTTTTCTAGCCGAATTTCACTACGGAAAAACTGCGAAAATGCTGTTTTTCGCGAACATCATGATGCCTTTTCTTCTTGAAATTCTGGGCGAAAAGGTAAAGAAACTATTTATCAGTCCAAATCAGTCTTGGATGTGTAAATTTTTTCGCAAGGTTTGTTTGTTATTTCTACCCCGAGGAATGTCTTCCGATTCCCAAAAAGATGTCAGCTACGGGTCCGTCTCGTCAGGATCCATCCAAATACAGTTTGCATTGCCAACAACAATCCTATAACGTCATTTCGTAGCCCCCCAAGCAGTTTTCGGGGACAGACGTCTCTTCCAAGAACCAAATCCACTTCCTCGTTTCCGAAGAACCGCTTGTCTGCCAATTCCATCTCTGGGAAGGCTGGCTTTACCATAGGATATATTTCGCATGTTGAAAGCTCTCCTGTTAGCTGGAGTAGCACAAGCGTCACCGTTTGCATAGAAATTAACGCATTGATGGGTGATCCACTCTTGATAGCACACGCCTTTCATGTTTGCGCTGAAACTGTATGGTTAAATCCGGAGACTTGGGCGATCGCCTTTTTTACCGAAAGTCCTATGCGCCTCCGAAGTCACTCCGTAATGAATGATCACTTTGAGCCAGAGTCGATTAGAACTCTAGCTACGTTAATTGATCCACGATGCTGAATGTTAACACAAGCAGTTCGTAAAACACGACTGAACATAGCACGTAGCATTATTTTCAGTTTTATAATGACCGATATCAGAACTGGTCCGTTTCAAGATAGTACCCACACTTTTTAGTTTTTCAAGGGAATCTCTTTTATTTAATTTTTTTTTTGAACTGATTGCAAATGTAGCAGAATGGTGTGTAATTTGACAAGTTGACAATTAAAAACGCCATTACATTGCGCAACACCATTTAAGGCACAGTTTGAATTTTCGCCCAATATTGCCCCGTCATGAAGGAGACATTCTTTTAAATTGTGGACAAAATCGTATATTGTGTGCATCGCTTTTGCACAACTTGCAATGGTATTTGGCCGCACTCATTTGAAATGTATTTAGTATTTTTGATGAATTACCACGTTTCGGAGATTCTGCCTTTTACAGTCTTGTGACGTTAGATCCTTTAAGAGGAGCAGAAAACGTTACAATTAATAATTAAATTTATAATTGCAATCGAAAAGATCAGATGGTCAGACTTTATCAAAAAATTTATGCAAGTTGAACTTATCTTGCACACTTCGGAGTTGATTTGTATAAGTTGGACTTATTTTGTTCAAGTTTTATTTAAATTCGGTAAAAAACGAGCTTAAATTGTAGAAGTTGGACTTGACTTATATAACACGGACTCATACGGAACAACTCAGACCAAACTAAGTTAATTCGGACTTAGCTTGCAGATCGGACTGAAGTAAGTTAACTCTAACTTAACTTTGATAACGTAGCTCTGAGACTGTGTAACTCTATATTTTATATTATTTATATAAATCGGACTAAACTAAGTTAACTTTGGCTTAACTTAGACTTTACCAGCTTAACTTCATTTAAACAGAATATATTGAAATCGACGTATATAAGATGAACTCGACCAGCAAAAAGCGGACCAAATTAAGTTATTTCGGACTTTACTTGTTCAAGTTCGACTTAACCAGGAGAAGTTTGACTTAAATTGTATAAATAGGACTTGATTTGTGCAGTTTATAAAAGGTAATAAATATTAAATTAATTCCAGAAAGTTTAGCTATTTTATACCAATTAAAAAGGAAAAATAATATTTATTTTTTTTATAAAAACAAATATTATATTAAAATTTACAGATTTAAATGTAAGGTTTTTATTTATAAGTAAAAATAATATTGACAAAAAATTTCTATTTCTTTTTGAAAGGTAAGTTTATTGCACAATATATGATATTTATTTTGTGTTTATTTTGTGTTTATTATGTACTGTTGTGCGAATTCGTCGCACCTTCACGTTTGTTTATTAGTGCGATCGTAAATCGCTACTATTTTTATAATATTTATAAAGTGGAGAGATATCTCAATAAAATTTGAAGATAATATCGCGAATATGTTAATCGTAATTAATCGAGTGCTTTTGTGAAATTAAATATATATACAAATGTATGAAACGGAAATCCTATGCTTATGAAGTTGAATTAAAAAATCGAAGTGTTGTTGTTAGTGCATAAACTTCAGAAAAAATTGCACTGCCCACTTGAAACGACAAATTTTCGAACACGGTATTAATTTTGTTGAAACTAGCTCAACACGATTTAGAAAAAAATATCGAAGATTGGGTCATTGCCGAAAAAAATCTTTTAACAAATTTCTTAAAAATCAAGTAGAAAATAGAAAATACACTAACAACATATGTATATAACGAACACGATAAGCACTTTGTTACACATATGGCTGATGCTTATTTTTCAAAATTTCTTTTGAAAATTTGCTTCATAAATGAAAAAATAACACAGGTTAATTTCACGAATTTAGTCGAAATTAAGATTTTAAAATGCAACTCACAAATATCCCAAAACTTTTTACCAAAAAACCGGCACGAATTAACATGTCTTTATATATATAGTATGTATATATGTACAGTGAAATTCCCATTACAGACAGCCCTTATGACCGGACAAATTTCGTGCACATCTTTTCACTAATTTTTCCATACAAATACTATTCCAGAAACTGGCTGCTCTTATTACCGAACGCAGACAAACGGACAATATTAAACAAAACAAAAATTCCCAAACAAGATTTTTTAAAATTACCATAAAATAAATGCCATTCCTTCGTTGATTCCCCTTTTAGCATGTATGCAAACGAATTTGCTGATTCCTCTGTTAGCATAACGAATTTGGTGATTCCCCTTTTAACATGTATACACTCATTCATGACGTATGTGTAAACTAGAAAGCGGAATTTTCATTCAGTTTGCTAAGTAAACCAGTTGCTTGTGAATTGTGTTGTTGCAAAACTCGTAATAACACGGCACCAAAAAAGAAAGTACTGTCCATTAAAGAAAAATGGAAATTATTAATGTGCTCGAAAAAGATGAATTGTCTGTGCGAGAAATTGCAAAAAACTATGTGATGTGCATCAAAAGTGAAGTTTTCTTAAATAAGGCGGCTCTGAAATAGACAAAATGTACTTTAATTGGTTTTCTAAGGTAAGAAGTTGAAAAATTCCTCTATATGGCCTTATTAAATGCAAAAGCAATTGAAATATTTAGCAGTCAAATTGGGTGTATCTAATTTTAATGCTTCATATGGATGGTTAAACAAATGGCGAATAAGGAATAATGTTGCTTGGACTAAAGTAGAAGCAACGATAATCCAGAACTGCTTCCATAAAGCAGAATTTTCGGAAATTGATGAGAGTTTTTCCGGTTTTGATTTCGAAGATGATCTTCTGCTGGCAATCTATGCTAGAATTCACGAAGGACTCGATTTGGCAAAGGATCTCGACGATTTTCTCCAAATAGATCAAAACGTCTGCACTGAAGACAACACTATAGAAATTCAATTTGAAGAACAAAACGATGTTATGGACAATTCCGATTCAGAAGAAGATTATAATCAAGACAAAAGTGAGCCCATAACATCGTACGATGAGGAGTTAAAACTTGTTGCGCGTTTGAAACAATTTGCCAAAAATGATTTTGTATCTAGCTTTTCAATACATCAAAAATATCGAGGGTCATTTTGAGAATGAACATTTTAAATTAAAACAATCAATATTCAAGCAATCAACCATTACAACATTTTTTCAACCAAAGTAGTACTGAAATGTAAAGTCTTGTATGTATTTATGTACATGTATGACAACGTGTGTAATTTATCTATATGTAAATGAAATAATATGTATGTTTGAATATTGAATTTTTGTTTTAGCAATTAAATAAACAATAACTTCGAGCCACATGAATTCGATTTAAACATATTTTTTATACCTCCCCCATAAGCGGACATCTCTCATAACCGGACCAAAATACTGCGACGGTGAGTGTCCGGTTTTGAGGAATTTCACTGCATATGGAACTTGAGCGCTTATTTTTAACTTAAACCACGTACCTGATGATTTCACCTTGATTATGTAAGTATGAATGTAAGAGTGTGCGAGTAAATTTATGTTTCCTTCTGTGGCTTCAATGCTGCTGCTTCCTTTAGTTCGGCAATGAAATATTATTGAAATATGTTGATAGCTGTGGAGAGTGTAATTTATGAGACCCTTGTTACATCCGGCTCGAAGGACCATATGCACGAATAACGCAAGTCGGTCTCACAGGACAATCGTGCGTTTCAATTGAAAAAAAGGAAGAAACACAGAATAAATTACTAACTGAAAATCCGGCGAAAACCACTTTGGTTTGTATAAATGTGTATAATTGAATATGAATTATATTACATTAGTCTTCCAACTTACGTTTTTTTAAATCTGCAGTCGCTATGTCACGACCGGGTGAACTTCCTTCTTGTGTATCGAAAACGAATTATTTTAGAAAATTTTACTTAGCTTAGCTTTCGAACTGGAGGTTATTGCCAGATAGGTGTGTCATTCTATGTCGCATATTACATATTACATAGTCGCGACGGCAGAGATAAATGCCTATTTTACTGTTGCGTAAAAACCACCACCTAACAGCAATGCAACTACCCAACTCACGTACCAGCCGTCCATAGTAACCTATCTTATGAGAGCGCCATGTAAACACAAAGTTGTCACCGCTTGCCCATGCCGTTAGTGACGGTTTTCCCACAGAAACCAACGGCTATTTGATTTTGTCCGTAAAACCGGCTCGGCTCATTTTTCGTTGCTATACAAGGTTGCCAGTATAGTCTTTCTTAAAGTAACATTAAATAATCGAAGATAATGCGTAGTTTTTTTTCAAAAGAAATAAAAACCAAATACGTAACTAATTATTTGTTACCATATAGATCGTGTATATTTGTCTTGTGTTTATATTCAAGCATATAAATTATGAAATTCCTTGACGAAAATTATGAATTTGTTCAAAAGTGTGCAAACACACTGGCTGCTGGCAACTTTTCGCCGTTCTCAGCGGCGTCGATAACTCTTGTATGTATCCCGCCGTGACGTCGGCAGTTATGGAGGGCTGGTAAGCGAAATGGGTTGTTGCAGACTTAAGCTTTGAACCGCTAACGCGGATCTCAGCAACAACAGAGAAAGCAAAGAGTTAAGCAGTCAAGCAGCACAGCAGCAGAAGCGACTCCAGTGCAGATGACGAACACCAAAACACGTAAGATAAATAATGAATCGTTGTGTTTCTTTCGGCAAACAACAAGAACTACTACTTTTATCAGTTTAAGATTGCGAAAGGCCTGATCGTTGTTAACAAGAGAATTAAAGCCCCTGTTGATAATTAATAGGAAAAAAGTGTCAAGTTTTCTTGTCACTAAGCGCAGTTCAATTTAAGCAAAACGAGACGCATCCAATTTACGGTTAAAAATATCTTTTACACCGAAGAAGAACCACTTAAGCGAATTGTCCCGTACATAACACAAGTTGTCAGGAATTTGGTTACACCAAATCCTATTGTACTATACGTACCGCCTGCGTAGCATGTGGTGATCTTCACCATTCTACCAAGTGCCCCTTGAATAAAACGGATCCAGCTCAATCGGAACCAACTTCCAAATACTACTTTCATTTCGGCCCCTTCCAACCTACCCAGCTCAACTTATGGTCAAATGACTTATGCCAACGTGCTAAAAGCCAGTGAGCCGACTCTTGCAGTTATTCCTTCCAGTTCTGGAGTTGAGCACATGTTTCTTAATCTAACCCAGTGTATGACACAAGAGGTAATAAAGGCGCATAACCAAATGAATTTGAAATCCTGATGACCAAAAATTTTTACTGATTCACAAAATAGATGTTATACTTATGAATACCACTAATCACCTAGATGGCAGAGCACATGGTGGTACGGCTATACTCATAAGAAACCGTCTAAACCACAGTTCTCTCGTGCAGTCAACTTCGATAACTCTTCAAAATAGGGGAGTTGACCTTACTTTGGCTACGATCTACTGTCCGCCACGCCTCATAAAAACATAAAAAAATTTATCGACTTTTTCATGACATAGATTTTTTAGCTGGAGGTGACAAAGCGAAACACACATATTGGAGTTCGAGACTAATTAATCCAAAAGGTCGGCAGTTATACATATATAACGATCCTAAGTATCAAAAATAAACACGATTATATCTCACTAAAACAAGCAACTAAAAAAACATTATTACAACCTTAAATAAAAAATAAATCGCCAGGAGACGATCACTTATCACCAAAAATGCAAAATAATTGTCAAGCACTGCTACCATTATTATTTCTAAGAATTTCTATGCCATACTACAACTAAGACATTATCCACAAATATAGAAAAAGTCGCAGCCCTGCCGCCATCATACAGACCAATCAGCCTTTTGCCTTGCCTATCCAATTTTTTCAAAAATTACTTGTTTTCTCCATTAAATGACATAATTACTACACTTATATTTGGTTTTGATTAAAAAGCACGGCATTGAACAAGTTAATCGTCTAACAAATGAAAAAAGGAAAGGCTTCGAGTTCAGAGAGTATCGTTCGACCGTTTTTCTTGATGTGGCGCAAGCATTTGACAAAGTGTGGAATGACGGTCTCATCTATAAATTTAAGAAAAATAATTCCTAACTCGTACAATCCTTAATCCTATTTACCCGTTTATTTGTTTTTTTTACCTGGCAGCTCTTGCGAATGCGAATTGAAGATGACTGTGCTCTATATTTATTTGCAATTTTCAAGTGCCTCCTCTGAAACTGAACAAAGTGAAGTGAAAGTGAATCCTTTTAAATAACAAATTGTGTTGTTTGCATGGATTGGCGCTCCATAAAAAAATAGAAAAAAAAACAAACTGAAAAACTGTGCACAAATAGTTTACACTAGGTGAACAGAGCCAAATATATAATAATAATATATATATTAAAAAAGGCGAATTTGCATTGGCTTGCGCCGTTTCCAAATTAGAGTTGCAAGAAAGCTGTGTTGCAAAATCCTCTGTTGTTTTTTTTGGGGCTAAATCGGTTAACACAATGTGGAAACGTTAACCAAAGACAACAGCAATAAGAAATGGCAGAACAACAGCACCAACAGAGAACACAACGATTCGAAAATGAGCATTCTACTACTTTACCAGCCCCTTCATGAGCTCTATAGCTCCTTACCGCAACTCCTCCAGCTCCTTCTAGAAACGAAACGCAAAACTTTCCCGCAAATAGCGCTGCAAAGAAAGCAGAAATTCAAACGGGATTCGTACGCTACATTCTGGAAAAAATGATACGGTCACCCCAAAAAATAGTGAACAAAATTAAAACAAATTTGTGAAAACTTTCTGATGTCAAGTGCGTGAGTAGAAAACGTTCAAGAAGCCGCCAATTTATCTTGGAGAAGCGAACTCGAGCAACCTTGTCAACAAATTAGTGAGAAGTGAAAGTGGAGAAGATAGCTATCGCAAGGTAGCAGGTAATTTCGAAAAGGAAAAGAAGTCCTTCTATTCTAAAGGGCATTGAACACAGTGTAAGCCCCTCGGAAATAGAAAGTGCCTTGAAAGAAGAAGGTTTCAGGGTTAAAAACGTATTCAACACTAAAAATAAGGTCAACATACCTCAGCCAATGTTTAGGGATTGAACCATATTTCCAGCTCTTTAAAAAAGGAGAAGTTCATCCCTTTTACAATATGCGGTACCTTCTTCACCGTCGTATTTCCGTAAAAGAACCATCAAGAATTCGGCCATACGAAGCGATATTGTACTTTACAAGGTATATGTTGCATTTGTGGAAATTCACATAGTTCAAAAGACTGTATGAAACCTAAAGCAACCCGTGAGTCTAAAAAATGTAGCAATGGCGGTGAATATCACACCGCCAATTATAGGGGTTGTCCCATATATATTTCCCTTAAAAGCAAGGGGCAGTAAAAAAGCTTCTAGCAATATTCCTTCCTCTCAGCCTCACCCTCATCCTCAAGAAAAAGCTGCCCAAGCTCAAAAAGGTGTACATCTGCTCCCACCACAAGAAACAGCCATCCCGTTCGATACCTCACTTGAAAATACGCTAAACAAATTTATACGTATGATGCAAGAACATATGACATCATTGCAAAGTATGATGCAAGATTTAATTCTAAATCAAAATCTCCTCCTTCAAGCGATTTTGTATATGCAATGAACGACCTTGGGATATGTTATTGGAACGCCAACGGCTTGGTCCAACACAAAAATGAACTTTAACTTTTCTTTGAAAATCAAGCAATAGATATAAGGCTAATCTCCGAAACTCATTTGACCAAACTTAACAAACTTCAATATTGATACATTTCTTTTTTCACCAAACACCCTGAAGGGAAAGCGCTCAGAACTGGAATAATGGAAAAGTATTGTAAAGGCCACTTCACGCAACCTCAGGCTATATCAATGATAATTCTGGTGGAATAAACATTACCGCTATTTATTGTCCGCCCCGATACAACATATCAGAAATTCAATTTACTGATCTCTTTTCTAAACTAAGTAAACGGTTTCAAGTAGCAGGTGATTACAACGCAAAACATTCTTTCAGGGGATCTATGCTAATATCTCCAAAGGGTAGAAATTTACATAAAGCTATTCAAAATAGCGGTCTCGATGTCATATCTACTAGTCAGCACACATTCTGGCCAAATGATATCAACAAATCCCCTTCGACTTATTATTTAATCACTCGCCTTGTTTATGTTCCATTAACATAATTCCAGTTTTCAATGACTTACAGTTAGGCTTAAGCAATAAACTTACAAAGTGGGCTTGTATACAGAAAACTCATTTGGTGCATGTACGTATTGGTCTCTTCGTACTCACAAACCCAATGATCACCGGACACGAGGCTTTCGGTGTAGTAGCAAAAAAGTTCAACATTTGGCTGTTGGCGATCGATGTTCCGGCGGTTTTGTTGTTATCGTAGGCATGGGTGCTGCTGAGCCAAAAATTCCACTGATCAATGCGTTGACTCGCTAAGTTGATATACGTGGTGTTTTCCGTTACCGCAATGACTACCCCGCTGCATTAGCTTTATTTACTTCCGGCAAGGTGAATATGAAATGTTTTATTACAAATCATTTTGATATCACCGAGACAGCGAAGGCATTTGAAACTCCACGCTATGGACATGAAGTGCCATCAAAGTTATGATTCACGTACAACCCTAAGACACAAACAATAAAGTTTGAAGGATTACGCTCCTGTGGAGCTAAAATCTCGCAGAATAGATACAAGTTTTTTGTTTAACTGTTTTTTAATATAAGAATAAAAGACCTCGAGAATATTAAAAAAAAATAAATCAATAAAAATGCATTTGATGGCTTTACAACATTATTACATCTGGCAGCGAAAATTGCTACGCACGGCCCATCTAACACTCGTAGAAGAAAAATTTTCAACGGTCTTTAGAGTAAAGACATTACAAGTATGGTAACCAAATAAAGACAACTTAGGAGAGAATGCAGAGGTTTCGTCCTGAAAAATAAGGAAAAAGATTTTCAAATGTCCGTACAATCTCTGTCAGCTTCTTCTGATACTAACTACTCTTTGTGGTGAAAAGTAAAGAGTTTCAAAAGTACCGTCACTTGTGAACCTCCATTGAGAATTCACTATGGTGAGTAGGTTTGAAGCGAGCAGGAAAACAGTATCACTTTTGCCATGCATCTATCCATTGTATTTACACCAAATATTGGACACAAATCTCTTCCAGAATGAACATTTTATTCAATTTAATTTTAAATTAATAGGTGATATGATAAAAGAGCTTCCAAATGTGACAATTAAACACACGATTTGTATATTTAATAGAATATTGAGAACCCGCTATTTTCCTTAATCCTGGAACCTTTCGGAGATTATTATGATCCCCAAACCAGGTAAAGTACCATTTTTGGCGTGCTCCTACAGGCTTATTAGCTTAATTACGGTATTCTCAAAATTCTTCGAAAAACTTTTATTAAAAAAATATAACCGATTTTTGAATCGAAACAGACCATTTAATGCCGCCGTTTCGGGTTTAGAGCAAAACACAGCACAATAGAGCAGATGCATAGAATCGTAGCACATATAAGTTCAGCGTTTGAAAACAAGAAATATTGTTCTACAGTGTTCCTCGATGTTGCTCAGGCACTTGATAAAGTATCGTCAGATGGTCTATTATACAAGCTGAAAGGTACGCTTCCCGTAAAAATGTATGATGTCTTAAAAAGTTTTTTTATTAGCAGAAAATTTCGTGTTAGGCAAAAAAGTTACACCATTGAATCCTATGAAATATTTGCCGGTGTTCCACAAGGAAGTGCCTGACTTTTTGGGTTAAGCTCATTAAAACACATTTTGCCTATGTACATGTATGAGCTAGAACCACTGTCTAATAACCAAGTGTCTTGACACCTTTGCCTCAAATGATATTTGTTTGACTGCTTTGTCACTAGAACATTCTTTATCAACTAGACTTCTGCAATTTGAACGCATATGTCTTTTTATGCCACATTTACAGCAAACTATGTTCGGCCGCATGTGTTTAAATCGTTTACCAGAGGTCTTCCTTAACTTAGTCAAAAACGCCTATAATCTTGGATACCAACACAACGATTTTCGGTAAATTTTCCCGGCTTACAATAGTCACTACAAAGCTCTCTATTTCAACAGGGATGCTACAAAATAGAAGAAAAGACGCAAAATTATCCGGTACAATAACACCGACTGCTTAGAGCTCATCAATTGAGCAAACTTGTCCTGCATGCTAACCTTGAAATGTGTTTTAATTTTTTAATTTGGTTTGAAAAATTTTTAAATAAAACTTATATTTTTGTTATAATTTCATAAATTAAAACTAATCATTTCAAAACTGCGGCAAAAAACCGGGCCCTAATTATACTTTTAACATTTTTCATAATCAAATAATTTCATTAATTCTATTTATATATGTTTTGTACAGTGAGCAATGCTAAGAAAACGCAAAGGGGCTGATTTGAGCCGCAGTACAAGTAAAGCTCGAAACTTGCGAAATAGCAGATCCGAAAGAATAGAAGAACAAATCCAGCAACAAAATACTGATGCACGTCTCAGAATAGCGCAATTGCATCAAGAAGAGCCAGAAGATACACGAGCTGAACGCAATGAAGTCAGAAGATTAGAACAACGACAATTACGCCGTTTCACAGTCAATAGACGAAGAACAAATGACCAACAACGACAACAGATACATCGAGCATTTATATCTGATTCATTCCTGCGTCTAGCATTGAATATTATGCTCATTAAAAAGTGGTAATTGGTGCTATGGACAAGGAATGTCCGCATTGTCATGCTCTGAAATTCAAAAATGAACCAGCTGGGATGTGTTGCGCGTCAGGAAAAGTGCAGCTACCTGAAATTGAAACACCACCTGAACCATTGAACGGCTTACTTATCGGCACGGATCCAGATTCTAAAAAATTACCGACCGATTTCTGCACAATCGCTGATTCGCAAGATATTCTCATTGAACAAATATTTCCCGATGCACACACACAGTACATAAATCATGAGTGGCTTTCAGAAAGAGCGATTTTACGGGAAAAAAATGTAGACATTGACCATTTAAATCTGAAGATACAAATGTTGTTGCCGGGGAACTTGGTATCATATAAATCTATTGATACAGTTTGCGACGACAGCGAAGCAGTAAATTTTCCCACAGAGTTTTTGAACTCACAATTAAAGGTTGGATCTCCAATTATCTTGCTTCGTAATTTGCACCCGCCCCGGCTGTGCAACGGTACGCGATTAGTCATTCAAAAATTAATGAAAAACGTGATCGAAGCCAGGATTTTAAATGGCAAGTTCAGAGGTGAAAATATACTCATACCACGGACTCCTATTATACTTACAGATGTGCCAATTCAATTCAAACGTATTCAGTTTCCGATTCGATTGGCATTTGCAATGACTATCAACAAATCCCAAGGCCAAACGATGTCTGTTTGTGGCTTAGATTTGAGAACACCATGTTTTTCACACGGACAATTATACGTGGCTTGCTCTCGAGTGGATAAACCATCCAGTTTGTTTGTGTTAGCTAAAGATGGACTAACAAAAGATATTGTTCACGCAATAGCATTAAGAAATTGATATTGTTTAATAGTGTTACTGTCGTAATTGTTTAATTAATGATATATAATTTTAAGGAATACATTATAATAACTTAAAAATAATATTTGCCTTTTGTTATTTTTATATTCCCTCATCGTTAACAGCGCTCCATGCTTATTTCACGCATATACCACATTATTACATACATACAATATACACATTCTAACATACATACATACTATGCTATTTTTTGTCTACACTAGAAATTACTAGGAAATTATTCATATGGCAAAAAAAACGTTTGCCGGGTCAGCTAGTTATATATATTTATTGCCATGTTTTGGTAATCTTAGTTTGAATGAGAAAAGTTAGAAAATACTTAACACAAAACATACCAGTAAAACTTACACATTTTTAACATTATAATACTTCTTTTTCCGAAAAAAAAAAAAATTGTTATGTGACCTAGTGTAAAAAAAATTACAAACTACACGTACATAAGAAATATTACTAACATAGAAGAGGAATATGATGGTAAAGCCACTTCTGGAATTTGAAAAAAAAAAACATAGAAGCTAATCAAGAGTAGTGAAGAGGAAAATATTATAAATAAACATTCAGGCCAAAAAAAAAAGAAAGTTTTGTTGACATCCGAAAGTTTGGTTCAGATGTGGCAGACCAGAAGGCAAGGAAATACAAGTTGTAGGTGACCACTTAAAAATTTTTTCGATATTTTGGACTTAGCTGAAATAAATGCCTGGATCTTGCATAGAACAGGCAGGAAGTTATTTTTGCAGTTAGCTTTAGAACTCGGCAATGCATACACAAAATCTCAAGAAAAAAATTTTTACCAACACCGTCCACAAATTCCAATATGGGCGTACAACAAACTTGCCAAATAAAATTATTAAAGGTTATAAAATAGAAAAATCTGTTAAAAGGGCGAAGAATATGTTTGCGGCAATTGCCCATTTCAGAATAAAATAATTGTAGACCATGTAGGGAGACCTAATAAAGTGTATATGTATGCATAACATTCTATACAAATTTTAGTTTATTTGTTTTCTTTTTAAAGTACTTTAGAAAATAGAAAGCCACCTTCGTACCGAAATTCGAGTAAATGGAACCTTAAATACGATTTTCTGAATAGGTCGCTCTCTGGCCTACTTCCCGGAGAGAAATGTTGTCTTTCTGCTAATATAAGCAAAAAGTCAAATATGTACCGAATAGCAAGTAAATCGGAACAAAAGTATAAAAAGTTGTTTCGAATAAGTCAGACCTGGTCCACTTTCCGGGGAGAGGTGTAGTCTTAATAATTATATACGCAGGAGGCCACTTATGTACATAATTTATTGTAAGCCTGGCCATAAATCAACTTTTTCGAATAGGTCAGGCTCTGACCCACTTTCCTTAGAGAAGAAGAGTCGTCCTGATAATATAAGCAAAATGCCACCTATGTACCGAACTTCAAGTCAATCCAGCCATAAATACACTTTTTTCAACTAGGTCAGCCCCTGCCTCACTTTCCAATGAGGAGTGCAGTCTTCCTGTTAGTCTAATCATAAAACACCTCTTCTTGGAATTAATAGTAAATCCAATAATCTGAGTAAAAAGGAACCTATTAGCCAAATTTAAAGTATAGAGAACCTAAAATACGATTTTTAGGTCAGTCTCTGGACCATTTCTGGAGAGAAGAATAACCTTTCTGTTAATCTAAGTAAAATACAACATATGAACCTAATTTAATTTTAATCTAAGATTTTCTGAATAGGTCACTCTCTGGACAACTTCCCGGAAAAAAGTATGCTTCAAGTTCTTCCTGTTAATCTAAGAAAAAAAACCTTCTATGTACCGAATTTCCAGAAAACCCAGCCATAAATATTCTTTTTTCAAATAGGTCAGCCTCTTGCCCAATTCACGGAGAGAATAATAGTTTTCCTTTTACTCTAATCAAATACCACCTCTTTTTCGAATTTAAGGTAAATGCAGCCTTAAAGAAACTTCTTTCGAAATGGTCAGCCCTTGGTCCACTACCGGATAAAAGAGTATCTTCCTGCTCATCTACGGTATGTACCGTATTTCAAGTAAATCGGAACATAAAAGCACTTCTTGAACAGGTCAACCTCTGGCCCATTTTCCGGAAAGAAGAAGCTTCCTGTTTATCCATACGAAGATACACGTTTTTACCACATTTTAAGTTAATAGAACCTAAAATACGATTTTTTCATTGGTCAGACTCTGGCCCACTTTCGGAGAGAAGAATAGTCTCTTTCTATGCAAAAAGCCACCTGTATACCGAATGTCAAGTAAGTCCAGCCATAAATACCCTTTTTTCAAATAGGTCAGTCTCTGGCCCAATTGACGAAGAGAAGAATACTTTCCCTGTTAATCTATGCAAAAAGCTACCTATCTAAATAATTTAAAATTATTCAAGCAGTAAATACAATTTTTTGGAACAGATCAGTGCCTGATCTACTTGCCGGAGTGTAGTCTTCCGGTTACTCTAAGAAAAAGCCCAGCCAGGTTCCGGTTTTTCAAGTAACATAAGTATTATTTTTTTAATTAGTTCACTCATTGACCGATTTTCAAGTAAATCCAACCTTAAATAAACTTTTCTCGAAAAGGTCAGCCCTGGTCCACTTCACGGATTAAAGGGTAGACTGCCTGTTATTCTATGTAGAGAGCCACCTATGTACCGAATTTTAAGTAAATAAAACCTAAATACGATTCCGGAGAGGAGAATAGTATTTTTTTAATCTATGCAAAAAGCTACGTATGCACCTAATTTCAAGTAAATCGAGCAATGAATAAAAATTTTATTCCATACAAAGGGTCACGTATGTACCGAGATTCAAGTAAATATAAACTTAAATACGATTTTTTGAATACATCAGTCTTTGGTCCACTTAATCTATGCAAAGGCTACCTGTACAACGAATATCCACTGGTCCACTTTCCGGGGAGAGTTGTAGTCTGAATAATAATATACGCAGGAGGTCACCTATGTAACATTTTTATTGTAAGTATTGGAATAAATCAGTCTCTACTCTATTACTTTCTACTTTCCGGAATGTGCTACTCATTCGTCCTGCTAATCTAAGCAAAAAGCCACCCATGTACCGAACTCTAAGTAAATCCAGCCATAAATATACTATTTTCAAATAAGTTGGCCCCTGCCGCACTTTCTGGTGAGAAGTGCGGTCTTCCTGTTAATCTAAGCAAAACACTACCCATGTGTATTCCGATTTTCAAGTAAATAAGTACCGAATTTCAATTATATCCATCATAAAAATGTACTTTTTTCAAATAAGTCAGTCCCTGGCCCACTTCCCGGAGAGAAGAAGTGGCTGCCTGTAAATCTATTTAAGAGACCACTTATATGTCCTTTTTATGGTTAATCCAGTAAACTGAATAAAAAAGCACTTATGTGCCGATTTAAAAAAAAAAATACATCCTTGAATAGGCTTTTTTGAAAAGGTCAGTGTCTGGTCCACTTCCCGGAGAGAAGAAGAGGCTGCCTGTAAATCTATTTAAGAGACCACTTATATATCCTTTTTATAGTAAATCCAGTAATCTGAATAAAGAAGCCCTTATGTGCCGATTTAAAAAAAAATACATCCTTGAATAGGCTTTTTTGAAAAGGTTAGCGTCTGGCCCACTTCCCGGAGAGAAGTATACTCTTCCTGTTGATCTAAGAAAAAAGCCTCCGATTTAACAACGACATCAAGTAAATAAACCAATAAACCATAAAGAAGATCTTTTTAATAGACCATGCTTTGACCCACTTCCCTGGAAGAAGTGTAATATTCCTGTTACTCTAAGCAAAATATAACCTATGTACCGAATATCAAGTAAATCAGACCATAAAAACGGTTTTTTGAACAAGTTAGTCTATGGACCTTTTCCCGGAGAGAAGAGTTTTCCTGTTCACCTATACGAAGAGCCAACTATGTAAGCCTTTCAATTCAATTTCAAGTAAATCGGATCATAAGTATGTTGCTTCGAATATCTACGTAAGTAACTAATACTGTAAGTCCGGCCATAAATCAACGTTTTCGAAAAGGTTATTCTCTGGTCCACTTCCCGGAGAGATGTGTAGTCTTTCTGTTAATATAAGCAGAAAGTCACATATGTACCGAATATCAAGTAAATCGGTCCATAAGTAAGTTGCTTCGAATTGGTCAGACCTGGACTGGATAGAGGTGAGGTCTTAATGTTATTCTGCGCAGGATGCCGCTTATACACCAAATTTTTTGTAAGTGTGACCATAAATCTACTTATTAGAGTAGCTCAGTCCCTGGCCCACATACCGGTGAGAAGTGCAGTGTAGGTAGGCCCAGTGCTTGGTCCACTTACCAGAGAGGAGAATAGTATTCCTGTTAATCTAAGCAAAAATCCGCCCAAATAGCGAATTTCCAAAATATGCAGAAAAAGTCCGTACCGATTTTCAAGAAAGCCGAACCATAAGTGAGAATTTTGGTAAACTCACTCTCTGGCCGAGCCGTAAATAATCTTGTTTTGAATGAGTCAGCCCCTGGTCCGAACAAAAGTCTAGTCTTCCTGCTAATAATAAAAAAGCCAGCTATGTACCGTAGATCGAACCATAATTAAGGTTTTTGAAATTGATTAGTCTTTGACCCAATTCCCTGAGACGAGTGTAGTCTTCCTGTAACTCTAAGCAAGAAAGCCGCACCATAAGTAAGATTTTTTGAAAAGGTCACTTTTTGGCCGATAATCAAGTAACTCAAGCGGTAAATAATCTTTTTTCGAATGGGTCAGCCCCTGGTCCGTATGAAGGAGTAGTTTTCCTGTTAATCTAAGAAAAAAGCCACCTATGTACCGAAAGTCAAGTACATCGTACCATAATTAAGATTCTTGGAATATATCAGTCTCTGACCCACTTCACTGAGAGAATTGTAGTCTTGCTGTTACCATTAGCAAAAAGTCACTTTTTAGCTAATTTTAAGTAACTCGGAACATATAAGCAGAGAGAGGTGTAGTTTCTTTATTACTCTAAGCAAAAGATCACCCATGTACCGATTTTCAAGAAAGCCGAA